AAAAAAAAAAGCAAAAAGTGCATTCCACAAAAACCAAAAACGAATTTCACTCACGTGTATTAGCCTAAAAAAGAATCTTTTAAGCTGTGTACTGGCAAGACACTTTGTATTCCATTACATGAGGGATTATCAACCTTGGCCTTGGGCCCACACAATTCTTCACTGAGCAGCATCCCCGGCCTCACCCCACTAGCCACGCCCTCCCCTCAGTTGTGACAACCAAAAAAGTCTGCCGACACCATCGAATGTCCGCCAGAGAGCACAGATGCCCTTGGTTGAGAACCACAGGTTTAACCTAATCAAGCCAGAATACCATCATTTTGACACACGTCACTATAAAATGATTACTGCGACAGTCTGCATTCTTTGTTTCGTGCTGTCTTTGAAACCTGGTGTGCACGCTGGCCGCACCCCAAGTGTTCCAGGGCCACACGTGGCTGGGGGGTGGGGTGGCCCCCAATCCCCACAGCGCTGCTCTCAATCCTTCCGGAGCCAGCAGCTGAGGCAGCTGGAACGAAGGCAGAACAGAAGGGGCCAAGGCCCAGAGACGCCCGCAACACAGTCTCTTTTCTTCCGTGCTCGGTTTCAGGGGCAGCGCCCTCTCTGAACCTTTTTCAAATACACTGAAAGCGCATCCTTAAAAGTGAAAACCGGGCCATAAAGGCCTGTACTTTTTTTTTTTCCCACCAAGAAACAAAATAATAAATGGGCCTAGAACATCCTTTGGTCTGAAAGACCACGCCCAAGCCACCGCAGCAAGAATTAGTAGAAACAGGCCCCCTTTTATTTTTTTTAAAGTTGCCACTTTTCCTTTCTTAATGACACGTTCTCCCGTTTGCCCAAACCGTCCACGTACTTGTCCGCAGCGTAGCAGATGGTGCCACACGTGTCCGCCATGTCGTCCACGAGGATGGCCACGCGGTCCTTCACGTCGCCCACCAGAACCATCCGGTCCACTTCGTTTGCTTTCTTCCTCTCTTTGTGAATCAGGGCAAATTCCACATTCAGCCTGTCCGCAATCGAGGTGACCCTGCTCCGAGACACCGAGACGCCAACAGAGGACAGACGAGTTAAACACTGTCAGCGTTAACAAAAGCTCTTACGGTTTCAAGCTGTAGTTTAGGAACGCGGTAACCAACCACACCCAAGATCCGGAGATAATCAGCTCTCACTAGAAAAGCCAGGCCCGGCCTGGGATGCACAGTAGGCAAACCACGGGGACAAGTGGGCCTTGTGTTTGTGGCAGAGAGAGAGACAGCATGAACAGGGGAGGGTCAGAGAGAGAGGGAGACACAGAATCGGAAGCAGGCTCCAGGCTCCGAGCTGTCAGCACAGAGCCCGACGCGGGGCTCGAACCCACAGACCGCGAGATCATGACCTGAGCCGAAGTCGGACACTTAACCGATTGAGCCACCCAGGCGCCCCTCTTCCGCCTTTTAAAAATCAGCGTCCGACTCTTAATCTCGGTCCAGGTCAGGATCTCATGGGTCCGGAGTTCGAGCCCCACATCAGGCTCTGTGCTGATGGTGTGGAGCCTGCTTGGGGTTCTGCCTCTCCTTCTGACCCCCCCCACTTGTGCGCGCTCTCTCTCTCTCTCTCTCTCTCTC